CTGTACGCGGTCGAGTGACCGTTCGAATAACTCTCGCCAAGGGAGCCCATGATTTCAGCCAGGTACAGCCTTATCTCCTTGTATAAATTGGTGTCGAAGGGAAATAGATCTGGGCGACCGACACTTATTACCTTAACAAAGACTTACCGTGAGTGTAGAATTGAGGATAACGATGAGTTTGAGAGAAAGAGAGGGGAAAGTAAATAGTAACCAGTTGATAGGACCAACGATGGTTCCCTCGATTCAGTGATCACGCAATCCGTGTTGGAGATGACCGAATGCAGCTGTTTATCGCAAACTTCTCCTCACGTCTCAGTCGAACCGAGTATTTGGCGAATTAGACGAGCTGTTGACGTGGTCAGTAAAGCCAAAGTCCACGTGGCAGCGACAGGCGGTTTTGCGTGTGGTGTGCCCAGATTCCGCGCAAGTCTATATCAGGCTTCCCTGAGTAGTCATTTTGCGTAGTCCAATGCGTACGTGGATCCGCGCGCCTGCCAATATATCCAGCTCGGTTGCCTGTGGATTAAATAATCTTGGCTCTGAATGGCATGCCGAATTCCGATAATTCCTGCAAATGGCCATTGAAAGGCAAGGCGTTGAAGCCATGATTGATTTTGCATCACGTGCGGTTCGTCCACTTTGACTTTCTCCCAGACGGTTGGCAAGTTGGTGGCCGAATACTTTCTCCTCAGCTCATCGTACCACTTGCGATCATATAGTGCCCAGAAATCCTCCTCTGGGTAGTACGTGTGTGAATACAGGACTTTGCGGCCGCCCAGCTCAGTTAGACGCCGCTCCAGTTGCCGATTCTGCTGCACAAAAGATTCACTCATTGATGCCGGTCCCCAAAGACCGATATTCAGCATTGGTTGAGGCTTTCCGTCTGCGACATGACTGGGGTGGAATGTTGGTGGGTCCGTGGCTCGTAAAGGACAGAGCCAAAGTGGCCAGATCCCCAGACTTTTGGAAGTGTCATCAATAAACTCTTCGACCGTATCGTAAGGTAACGAAAGGTCCTGAATCATGAAGCTGGAGGACATGTGGCTCGCGTGCAGAATTCGGTACATCATCCTTGTGTGCATGAAGTCGTTCACAAACCACCTGGTGTATCGATTGAACGGGATTAAATTGAAATAGCGGAATGCTTGCCTACCCACCCAAAACCCACCCCGATCATAGCGGAACAGGTACTCGAAGATGGGAATATAGTCCGTAGAAGGGTTGTCCATTGTCTTGCTCTTAACATGGAGGTAGAACCACGGGTCCCATGGACCGCTGAAGTGGTTGGGTTTCGCTGTGTTTGGGATCTCATTTGTCAGGTGGCCAGTCATCACGACACCATGAGCTCTGGAGAAGATGATGCCGTCCACGTAGTCATTTTCGGGATTCTCTGTCTCTTGCTTTAACGCCTTGATAGTCTCATGAATGGTGGAATATGGCCGATAGACCAACTTGACGAAGTGACGGGCAGGAATCAGCTGCAGTTCGAGCTTGGTAATAACACCTAGCGTCCCCAACGACCCAGCCGCACCTTTGAATAAGTCGGTATTCTCAACTGAAGAGGCTGTGATTATCTGGCCATCTGCAAGGACCACCTCAATGGATCTGACGGTCTGATCAAAGTAACCGTATCTGAAAGAGCTACTCTCGCCTGCGGACCCAGCAAATCCTCCTCCTACCGTGATACCTGGGAACTCCATGACAACTGGAGGTACCAAACCATGAGGTAAGGTTGCCTGCACAAGCTTGTCCATAGGGACGTTAGGCTCCACGAGCGCCGTTCTCGACAAAGGGTCGACCTTTAGCACGTTGGACAAGCAGCTGATGTCGACAATACGTCGGTGGTCGGTAGGACGAGTGCTGTTTGTGGATCCATGGAAGATGCGGAACGGCTGGCCATTGTCAAAGAAGACTCTTACGGCACTGGATAGTTGGGCGACGTGGTCATCGTGGGAAGGCATTTCCCCGGACCATAGGGGACCTCAGAGCTCAGTAACGGCAAAGGTCGGACAGCGGGAGGAGGAAGGCATCCCATAGAGCTCAAAAGCCACTCGAGAGATGGCTTCATTGGCAACAATAGTGTGATGTGCAAGGAAGAGAAGGCGAAGCCTTTGAGGGAAGAAGTGAAAAGGCGGGAAAGGGAGAGAGCCCAAGCAGCCTTGTGGCCTTGGCATTCAAGCCTCGCAGTTCCTCTTTCCCTTCATGTAATAGACTTGCCGATTTATTGCTCCATACCTCGAACTGCGATTCCTACTCCTATCTATCCACTCTGCCTCCGTGCTTGTCAAGAGAACAGTCGCCGGTGCTGGGTGCCTGACTGTCACTCCAGCTTACCTCCCCGTCAAACACGACGCGCAACACCTAGTCCCGATCAGTGTGTAACACCATTACTGTTTCCTGCGAAGCTTCCTGTTTTGGTATCGACGCATGCTCGCTTGTCGAAGCCTGCCTCACGTTCCAGGTATGGCCCAGAAGTCCTCTCGGTTTTCAGACCGGCGACAGTGGAGTGGTTAGTCATGGTTGCGTCCATCCGCCGAGACACCGTGCCCTGTAATAGGCATCCATCCTGGTTCGAACATGGGAGAAGAGGGGCCAAAAGTGTGGACAGCCAATACACATCCTTTCGACCATCAGACCATGCATCCTATCCAGGGCTCATACATTGTTCGCTTTATTTCAGAGGTATGTTGCGTCTAAGCCCGGAAACGTGTCAAGCGACTTCTGGTTGTTGCCATTGCCCGTGGCAAGGAGGCCCACGAGATGTCCTTCGAAGAGTCAGCAGACTGCCAAATCTCACAGAAGAATGGTCCTGGCCGCTCCTTTGAGAGTTACGTATATTGAAATAGGATTGAGAGCTTGATACTGAAGGCCGGGGATCGCTATATTGACGTTGCAGAGCAGATTTCTACAACCAAGGGAGCAGCCTCACCACGACCTCGATTGTGCAGATCAGCAGCCTGAAGAGAGCTCATAAGGCTGCGCTTCTGCTATCGTGACTGGCTTGCTACTTCGCTGCCACCACAACCGGGTTGTAGTCAGTATTGCTCAGATTGCACCTTCACTTTGAGACAAACCTGCCGAATGCTCCCATCTCGAGCAAAAGATCTCGTTCACGGATGGGTATCGACGCCTGACGTACGAGGAACAAGTGACATACTGTACGGCAGCCTTGCCACCACATGGCTTTGCACCTGGACATGTCTCTGCCTGAATATACCGTCCTCGTCAAGCCGCCGCGGGTGGCGGTCTCTTCTGTATAAATTCCGTTGGCAACTCTACACCATATTCTTCCCTGAAGTCCTAGTGGCTATGGCCATGGAACAGTGGCTGTCTGCACACCAGTCGGTCAGAATCTTCCACGGACTCGGACACCCGGAATGGACTACACGCCACGGATTCTACGCAGATATGGGCGGCATCTTGATCGCTCCGCGCGACTATCCAGCCTTCCCGGTTGACAGCCAACAACTGGCTTACCTCGTTGAACATAAAAGTCTGGTCTTGCCGGAGATTTCTGCATTGGATATTGAAGCCCTGAACAAAGCGGACGGGCTCGCGCGGCTAGTGACACTCATTCAAATGACTTGGTTTTGCGTTTCTTTCATTGCTCGTGGTGTTACCGGCCTGGGATATTCGACACTCGAAGTCACTACTCTAGCATTCATCATCTGCACATTACACACCTTCACCTTCTGGTACTATAAGCCGCTAGACCCTCAATCACAGCGCGTCGTGCCAGTTGACGCCAACATCAATCAGCTTTGCGAGCGGCCTAGCTCCGCTGCTGCTTCCAAGACGATGCCAGAAGTCACTGTCGCCAACGCTGCCGCCATCAACGCTCCAATCGGCGGCGCTGCGGGTGCAGGATCCTCTTCCAGCGTCGAGTCTTATTCGCGGACTCCCCTCGACTTCGTCAAGCCTATACCCGACCCGAAGAGTCTAACGATTCCATTCTGGTATGGCTTTTCAGTCGTCTTCTTCTACGACCAACACGCCAAACAAAAGCCCGCACAAACCATGCCCAACAGCATTACCCTCCCACCTGACGGCCTCACCATGGGAGTGACAATCTACACGCTGTTATTCCAGCTCGTGTACTATGGGCTGTACATCGGCTTCGCCTGGCTGGCAGCATTCCCCTCGCGGACCGAGTTCTATCTCTGGCTCGTGGCCAGTTGCACAGACTTCGGCCTGATCCTGCTCTACATCCTCGCCGTGCCGATCGGGGCTTACAACACGCGTCCTCTGGGCCGGTACTTTTTTAACGCCGAGGCGACCAGCATCCCGGAGCTGGCGAATATGCTACCGCCCTGGATGAAAATGCTGCTGCACGGCCCGTTCGTCTTCGCATACATCGCTGCCAGAGCCATTGTGCTGGCAGAGTCACTGATCAGCCTCCGAGCACTGCCTGCGTCCGTGTACCAGGACATCAACTGGCCGAATTTCATGCCTCACGTATGAGAGAGGAGGGTGGCCATCCAAATATGTAGAACGATGTGTCCAGCCAGAAGGCCCTCGTATGCTCTCCAACTCCACCCTTCCCCGTTACCTATCGATATTCCAAGCTTGGATCTTACATGTATACCACAAAACAGAGGTCACGCTGGAAAAAGACCGGCATTAGAGATGGGACTGCGGTTAGTTCGTGGCCTGATAAAAGCCCGTGGGCCGTTGCACGTTTAGTCTCTTTCCTTGTATCGGGTAATGGCCTCTCCTTGTTCCATCAAAGCCCTCCCAGGACTCGAAGCCCGATGAGATCGCCTTTATCGGGCCGTTCTCAAGCCACGATCAATAAGTCAGTATTCTTTCGACACCACCGCGCACGACTAACACACTAGTCACGAGTAAACGAGGAAGGACGCGCACGACCAAAAACGCACGACCAAAGAGGCACAAAGTAGCGGTTGGGGTGGCAAGATTCGGCTTTTTTCTTCTTCTCTTTCTCTCTGACTCGACTCGCTAAAATGTCAACTAACGATGGTATCCAACCCCGGAGCTTTCTAAGACCCTTTCAATGCCTTGACCTCGGCGACAAGTTCCGTCACCGTCTTGGTCAGGCTGCTCAGCTGCCGTGACTGCTGGGCAATCAGGGCCTTCATGTTCTTAATCTCTCGCTCTATGGAATCTGACGCTGGCGATGCTTCGGCCACGTTCGAAGCCTCTCCCGCTTCGACGGTCTGCTCGTCTGGCATTTCCGTCTCGGTCATCTGGTTTCCATGTTAGCTTATAATACGCGTGTGGGGGGATCCAGAACTCGCTGACCTTGTGCTTAGGAGCTGGCTCGAGATCCTCAACGTCTTCCCACACTTTACTCGCCGCCGGAGTGGGAGATTGCGCTTTTTTCTCCTCGGAGATGACGGGCTTGGTCGCAGTTGTCCGTTCCACGGGCTTCTGGACCTCCTCGAAATCCGACTCGTCATCTCCTCCTTCCGTAGGCTCGGTGTCTTTGAATTTGTCCGCAGCACCCATCATAGTGGCACCTTGTTCCTTCATGGACGGTGGGGGAGATCGGATCGTCGTTGGCACGGGTTCTGGGGTAGGCTCGGGCGCGGCTTTCTTCGGTTCAGCAGCTTTAACAGGTTCGGGTGCCTTTTTGGCCGGTTTCGCCTCATCGGATGCGACTTCTTTGATGCCGGTACCCTCATATAGACTTTCCATGGAGATCTTCGGTGGCAATCCCTCGGCACCGTCCAGCCACTCCTTGCTGCTCATCGCGGGTTTCAATCCGACGGTAGGGGGGTAGATGTCCTCTTGAAACGTCTCTGCTCTCCGAGGCACAATGAATGAAATAGGCTCAATGTAATTGTCATTCACCGTCTTGTACGCCCGAGCGACCTCGTTCTCGTGCAGGTTGACTCCCCTCTTGGGGATGAACGCGACCCCACGTTGAGGATCGGACGACTTGTACTCGGACAGATATTCGAACTTGTCGTGCTCATATTCGTAGTAACGGATGTTGCCGTCGCCTCTGCCTGCGAGGAAGAGACACTGGGTACCTTCGTCCCAGAAGGGCATGCAGACGCCCGATATCGAGTCGAGCATCTGGAACCCGTCGATGGGTTCTTGTGCGTTTCGGACGTCCCAAAGCGCCAGTTGACGATCACTCATTCTGGAGAAGCCGGTTGTAGCGATGCGGTCGTGCTCGCCCATCCACACGGCGCGACTGTTTTTGGCACCCGCGTGGCCCGGGCCTTCATGGACAGGCTTTTCTTGTCTGGTGTCCCATATTCTCAACTTTTTGTCTCGGGAAGTCGTCACCAAGAGGGAGCCGTTTGCACTCCATGACAAGGACTGGATCACCTCGCCAACCTTGAGCGACAGCTTGGAAGAGCCCGACTCGATATCCCATATCTTGACCGTGAAATCTCCAGCTGCAGACGCCAGGACATTTTCGGCGGCAGGATTGAAAAGTACGTGTCCCACTTTCCTGGGACGGGAAATCAGTTCATGTGTTCCAGAGGATGATAGACCAAATCTGCGTACTTTGGGTGGCCACTGAGTTTGCCTACTGGGGCAATGTCTTGGACCTCATCCGCGGGAATGTCGAGATGCAGTGTGAAGTCGTCTGGGACTCTCCATAAGAAGACCTGGCGCAGGTCAGCAAATTTCCCGTTTGCAAGAGTTACGTATAGCCACCTTTCCGTCATCTGACCCCGAAGCGATCAACGAGTCATTGAAAGGGTTCCTTCACATGTAAGCCTGGCGCCCTTGCTTCACTTCTTCTTTTTGACATCCAACCCACCAATCTGTGTCCAAGACCACGGCGGTATGTCCTCGGAAGAGCGGTATACGTTCGGGAAGTCGGCCTTTCTCGTTTGTAGGGATGACGGCAAACGCGCCGCCGCCGCTGCTGTCCCAGTTGAGGGCGAGGTATTCGGGGTTGGCCTTGGGAATTGTGAGCTTCGGGGGTCGACTGCAGCTTGCGGTCGTTGCGTACCTTGATCAAGTTTGTGTCCCAAGCGTTCTTGGATACCCTCACATTGTCATAGCATTGTTCCTTTTGCAGCTCTTAGCCTTGAATTCCTCCCCAGTTGAGAAGTGAGTGTGAAAGTCGCACCTTGCGAGTCGGGCGGCCGAACACGTGCCGGTATTTGGAGGAGCGTACAAAACGGCCTGCCATAGGTTTTGACGGTGAGGAAACCTGGAGAATGAATCACTGGATGTTCCGGAGAAAAACTGGAATTGACTGAGCCTGCAGTCTCGAGAGGCTTCTTCAGATTTGCCAGGCTGGAACAAATCTGAAGCACTTCGGGAGGCATTGGGAGCTGACCGCAGCCGCAGCGGCCCTTGTGGTGCTTGGTCCCTCCATTTGGCGGGTCGGAGGAATGAGAGCGCTAACCGTTTGTGGCAATACGGCGGATCATGAACAAACCTGCCAAGACGAGTGCTCATGCGGTGTCCTGAATTGGGACGAGATTGATGCTGGACATAGTTATTGTACGAATACTAGTGAGCATCTCACATACCTACGTCGAGAACTATCAATATACCTCCCCTGCGTTCAGGGCCTGCTGGTAAGGCTCCATACATCCAAACATACACACAAATATCCACATTACTCACATACCAAAATCCCCCAAAGCTCAAGACACAAAGCTCCTACAGAGCATACCGGAACTCGAGATTCTGCCGATCCGTCAAATCCATAAACTCCGTGTCGGGGACGTGCACGTATCCCTCGGCGGCGGCGAGGCGGTCGCGGCGCTTATTCTCCCACGCGTACCAGAACCGGAGGATCAAGGCGGTCACGATGGCGAGCGACAGACAGGCCATGATGGCGACCTTGGCAGGGATGTATTCCGGGGCGGTGTAGCCGGTGAAGGTGAGGGGGCCGATGATGTTGGAGGCGCCGTAGGCGAAGAGGATGATGGCGTTGATGGTGATTTTCTTGGTGTGGCCCGCGTAGTTGGCCGCGGCCCAGGAGTACATCATTGAGAGGTCTGTGTTGGTTTTAAAGCGTGGTGAGTACGGGGTTGTTTTAGGATACAATGGGGGTTTCCCTGGAGGAAGGGAAAAGAAACTCACTAGGTCCAAAGATCTGAGTCAGGTAAATGCCCGCCAGTTTCCCGGCCTTGTCGCTCTTGGGCAGAAACGCCATCAAACCACCACCCAGGACACCGGGCAATAGGAGCGCGACGATGCCATAACCCCGATTGTTGAATCTACCCGCATACCACGACGCCGACAGCACCGCGATCATGGAAATGGCTCCACTAGGAATATTCAGCAAGGCCGATTCCTTGGACGTGTACCCGAACCCCTTGATCAGGGTCGACGAGTACGTGCCGCACGCGCCCGTGGGGACGTTGCCCGCGATGATGATGACGGCGATGAGCAACGTGCGCGGATCCATGACAGTCTCGATGAATTGGGGCTTCTTGAACGTCTTGTTCTCAATGCCCGTCATGTTCTCGCGCAGTCGTTCGATGGCCAGGACTTTTTCCTCGTGCGTGAAGTGCGAGGCCATGGGAGAGTCGGGCAGGACGAGGAAGACGACGATGCCCCATGCGACGGTAATGATGCCGAAGACGAGAAACATGATCTAAAGAAATATGGACATGTTAGCTCCTTCAAGAGTGTCCCCCAGGGTCGAGAAAAAGGAAGAGACAAGGGAAACTGACCTGCCACGACTTGAACGTGTCGGCGTGATAGAATTGGAAGCCAAACGAAGCCAAAGCCCCGACGATGGTTCCGCCGCCGACACCCAGATACCAGATGGCCACTCTCAAGGGCTGTTCCGCGCGCTATAAACAGGTGGTTAGTATCTTCCTGGAGGATTGATGATATGAGAATCCCCCATACCTTGTACCACATTCCCGTGATCAAAATCAGGCACGGTGCGCTAGACGCTTCGAAAACGCCCAAGAGCAAGCGAACCACAATAAGACCGCCAAAGTTGTGACACGCGCTGTGCACTGTTTACGAGAAATAAAGAGTCAGCCTCTCCTCCAGACCCTTGGGGAAAATCCATGTCCTTTGTCTCGGCGATTCGACATACCGGCCAGAGTGACGCCCCACAAAACCACATTCACGGCGAGGTACTTGGCCGTCGGGAACTTTTGCATCAGGTAGGCGTGCACGGGCTGGAAGACGGCAAAGGTGACGTAGAAGAAGGTGGCCAGGTACGAGAAGTCGGCGGGGCTCATGTGTGTGTCTTTGCTGAGTCCCATGACGTTGGCGTAGTTGACTGTTTTTCCAAGGAAAGATATCAGCACAGGCACAACCATAGCATAGCACACACAGTGGGTGGGGGAGGGGCTTTTGTCTGTTTTACTTGGCAACGAGAGAATAAATCTTTCTGGGGGGGGGGGGGGGGGGGAAACATACTCAGACTCTTGTCGATGTACTGGAGAACATACACGCCAAACAGCATGGGCATGATGAGCCGGTCGATGCGGCGCAGGAGCTTCTTCTCGTCCAGCTCGGCGATGGAGGCGTCGGCCTCATTGCGCAGGAACGCAAGGGCCCCGTCGACCTGGTCGAGGGCGAGTTTCTCCTTGGTCACGACGGGGTCGTCGATGACGGTGGGATTGGCACGGCCGATTTTTTCTACGTCGGTGGCCATCTCTCCTCTGTTCTCGTCCGTTGGCTGCGCCGACTGGCGGCTGGTGAGTCGGGGATATATCAAGAGTGAAGGACAGTGTCGGAGCCGGGGATGGTAAGTATTCGCCTCTCTAAGATAGAGATGAAGATATATATATATAGAGGTAGAAGGGAAGAGAAGGAGAGAAGAACCAAATCAATCCTTTGTTCCTCACGTTGACTTTTCATAAGAGTCTGGAGTCCAGGACTTATCTATCTATATACATGCATGAATCGTGTGGATCACACCAGGAACACGACCTGACCATGACATGACAAGGGCATGGAAGGGCATGATGTTCTGTCCAGGGTCAAAATCCCACCACGCTTAGTTAGTTTCGCCCTTCTACCCCCCCATCTCGAACCGGAACCATCGTGGCGGGACAACCGACCTTTGCCTTTCAAAAAGCCTTGTACTTAGCTTACCCACTCGTTACGATGTCCCAAAAAGCCGTGTCCGGTACAGGGTTCGATTGACCTACCATGTATGTTATGTAGACGACAAGACCCTCAGACCCTCGTGTACCCAGTCAGGCCAGTACAGGTATTACTAGTCGATTACCTAGGTAGTTAGCCTCTCCAACGGGTAATATTAACTGGTGCTCCGCGAGATATCGGTATTCGTAGTGGTCTTGGTATTGGCAAGGCCATTCTCCGCACGCGGCAGAGATACAGTCCCGACGCTAATGCAGGGCACTGCAGGGTTGAGAGATACAGTCCCGGCTCTTGAGATTCCCTTCGTAGTTTTTTTAGGTTAACAGTGGCGTTTGAACAAGAGATACAGTCCCGTCGGTCGCGCCTTTGCCGATCAAGTCCTGTGCACCTCACTCATATCCTATCGTCTAACGCCTATCACCATCACCTACTTGCTTGTCACGTTTGTAATACTGTACCATCCCGATCAATCAGACCAGACCAGTTCAGATCGGTATGTAGGGCGCGAGGGGTCAGGCGACATGGGTACAGTCTCGTAGACGAGATACAGATACAGATACAGTCCCGCCGGCTGTGGAGGTGTGGCGTATACCTTCTACCTTGTATGACTTAGCACCGAGATACAGAAGGTATTCCGGTTCAAGTGAGTGAGCGAGTGAGTAAGTGAGTCGGTCAAACAAGTGCAGATCACGGACGCCGCAAAATGTCAAGGGTGCCTCTCCCCTCCTCCTACTCGTTCGTACACAGACAGACAGACAGACAGGCAGAGTTGTCCTTCCACGTGGCATTCCACCCCCCCCCCCCCCCCCTCTTTCAATCCCAGTAACTCCAACGCCCGCCCGCCGTGCATCCATCCCTCAAAGGTCTGTCTGTCCCTCGGGAATCCCTGACGCGAATCCAAGGCGTAATAATAGCGGCAAAATACCTCGTAAAATGGGGGTTCCTCTGTACCCATGGGAGTTGGAGGGAGGCACTTCAAGTAAGAAACTTCACGGTGGAGTTTATCCACATGAAACGCGTACCCAAGAGGGGGGGCAAGGCATGGAGGATATTATGCTGGTATACAAACGAGTACATATACTTATAGACAGTCGTCGGGTGATCCTTTTGACATCGTGAGAAGGTCGATTTCATACAGCGAGCGGTTTGGATATTTCTTCTCGTTTCTCTCTGTTTGAAAATACTTCTCGTTACCTCGTCCATAATGATCTTCACACGAACAACGAGAGCACTGGGCCTGCTGGTATCCAGAGTCGAGTCGACCTCGTATTCACCACTCTCCAGATCCGTTACCTGCGGCCAAACGTACATCCGCACGCTGAGCACAGCGACTACGACTACCATTCCCTCATACACCGTGAACAAAGACAGGCTCTGGAACACCATCCATGACACTGCACAATGGGGTGCCACTCCAGATGGAGGGATCCGTCGACTGGCCCTGACCGATACGGACAAAGCCGTGCGCCAGTGGTTCGTCTCCACCACCGAGTCACTGGGATGCACCGTCAAGGTCGACCAAATGGGCAGCTTGTTCGCGACTCGCGCGGGCATCTCCACTTCCCTTGCCCCCATCGGAATTGGGAGCCACCTCGACACCCAGCCCGCCGGGGGTCGCTATGACGGGATTCTCGGCGTCCAGGCTGGCATTGAGATCCTGCGGGTGCTCGAGGAAAACGGACACCAGACATACGCACCGCTGGCCGTCATCGACTGGACAAATGAGGAAGGTGCTCGGTTCAATACCGGCATGGTCTCGTCAGGGGTCTGGTCTGGCCGGTACACCCTGGATTTTGCCCACGCCCTGCCAGCGGCCGAAGACAAGACCAAGACGATGACCTTGAAGAGTGAACTCGAGCGCATCGGCTTCCTGGGAAGTGTACCCGCGTGGCACGAGGCCAATCCGCTGAGTGCCCATTTCGAGCTGCACATTGAACAAGGCCCAATCCTTGAGGATGAGGACAAGAAGGTAGGCGTTGTGACGGGCGTGCAGAGTATGGGGTGGCTCATCATCACCGTCCACGGGAAAAACCAGCATTCTGGCACCTGCCCCATGGACAGACGGGCCTGTGCTCTTACATCCGCCGCCCGTATGATCTCGCGTGTGGAGGAGATTGCTCTGGCTGCAAACGGCCTGTCTACCGTGGGAGTGATCAACTCGTGGCCTCAATCCCCCGCTACCGTGCCACACAAAGTTGTCTTTAGTGTTGACTTGAGCCACCACTCAACCGAAGTGCGTGAGCGTATGATTGCCGATACCTGTGCAGAGTTTGCCCGCATCGCCCAGACGAACAAGTGCACGGTTGAGATCGAAGACATCTGGAACAGCCCGGCTGTACAGTTCCATGACGATTGTATCAGCTGTGTGCGCGAGGCAGCACATAACGCAGCTGGAGAAGAGAATGTCAGGGAGATGATGGCAGGTGCTGGTCACGACAGCGTGCACACGAGCGACAGGTGCCCAACAAGCATGGTGTTTATACCGTCAAAGGGAGGCATCTCGCATCACCCAGACGAGTATTCTTCACCAGAGCAATGGTACGTTTTGTCTGACACTTCATCCATCCTACTTTCGGGGTATACAAGCTGACAATGGTTTCATCCAGTGCTCTTGGGGCGCAGGTCTTGCTTGAAAGTGTCCTGCGCTATGACGAGCGATTGCGGCAGGCTGCACTTTGACAGATTTGCACGAGTTGACATGGATCATTCCTTCGAAATAAGTTGATGTTCAACGGTGCCTGGAACCCATGGAATTTGAATATTGTATTGTTTGAAGAAAAGTGAAAAACTTTGTCGTCCGATCTCTGACCCTAGGAACCCGAATCATGAACGTCGTTTTCTTGTGAGGTGTCCTTGGTCTCATCTTAATCCGGAATATTGTTTTCGAGCAGTGGTACCCCATGTTGCATGCATTGCAGGGAGTGCCTGATCGTTGGACAGTGGTGTACACATGGATTGCCAGCTTGACATGTTCGTAGCAGGTTCATCTGTTGGAGGACGAATCATACTTTGGTTGTCCAGATTGGCTGGCGCCAGATTATCCACACCATAGAAAATGTCGCTCGTTGGAGCCTCTGGAATATTGAGAACAGCCTGTGACGGAGGTATTGTTGGCATATGTTGCCAGGAATGTTCAGATACCGGACAAGAATGTGGTGGAAACCCTGAAGATGATGAAGGATGGGCGAAAGAAGCAGAGACTTCGGGTGGCTGTGGCCATGTAGACATTTGACACGGCCAGGGTGAAGGAGCAGTAGCAGGGTCGATATAAGTAGGTTGCTGCAGCGTTGGTGTCCATGAAGTGCTAGATTCACCCGTCTGTTGACATGATTCTGCGGGCGTCCCAGTTTTGACATGACCTGCGAGATCAGTGATTAGAACCCGAAGTGCTGTTGCTGTCACTGTAGTGAACCATAGCTTCACGTACCAATCAACCTCTGGACACGTAGAATGTTCTCAGGGGTGCCGTCTTCTCCCAATATATCAAGCGCTTCCATGACCTCCACTTTGACCACGACGCACGGGTAGCCCAGACGGACACAATTGGCACATCTGCGCAAAGGGTCCCCAACCGCAGGTCTACATCTGGCCTTGCGTTTTCGGCAGTGTCCTGGCTAAATGAGCGAGTGTCCACATTCATCACCATCATCCCAATCCCCGGAAATCTTTGCATCCGTACTCACCGCACGCGACAGATGCCCGGTAGTAGCCCAGCTTGTCCCCTTTCGACCGCGCCCGTGAGAAGTAGCCACAGTGAGACATGATAGTTTTGCAAGCCTTGAAAATGAAAGACTGCGTGTGGCTCTTTTTTGGTTGTGTATGTATATGAACGCCTCAAGGACCGGTAATTGCCGACGTTGGAGTTGATCAGAGAGATTCTCTGGACGTACAACCAAAGATGAAATTTCCAGGGCCCTTATCACTAGAGAAACCCCGCATGCTTGACGCGGATGCCTAGTCTGGACAAGCCTGCGTTGGTAATAAGGAACCCCAGACGACACTCGCGGTGAGCAGCGTACGGTTCTGGAATCGGCGGCCACGGCGGCTAAACGTTGGGCGTTTTCTCCTCCTCTTCTACCGAGGCCAGATAGTGCTCGATAGTCACAGACCAGCCATGCAGTCAAACCTTCACGGCCAAACGCCGTTTCTCCATATGGTGCCGGATAACTGGACATGTTGCCGCCAAGTTGATCGCTGTTCTGCGAGGCACATGATGGCCTGTCACATCCTCTTTCTCGCGCTGCGCCTAGCTCTGCGATCTGGATGTCCTTTCCGCTAGAAGATGGTCGCTCCAAGTTGGTGGTGTTGAGTTGGTCGGGACTGCAGAGGGAGCGCTGTTTTAATTCGGTAAGATTCCCGACCAATGACAGGCCGATCAGATATGGATATGGACAGGCCGTTGGACTATTCCGGAAATAGCCTGACCATATCATCAAGTATACATCTTGACATGTCCTGGAGATGGACTCCTTCTCGTTTCTGTGGAACAACTATGTCGAAAGGACGAGTCAGGTAGGAGGGATATGTTGGGTAGCTGTGTTATGTTATATCTCTGGAGACGCATGGCCATAGAAACATTTTCCACTCCGGCGTGGATCGAGTTCCAAAAAAAAAAGAAGCAAACTATCGGCGTACTGAGAACGTGTCTCTTGCGCAAGGAGGAGAGAAATGTGTCTGTCTACGACTGAGACACACTCCCACCACCCAGCCCCTCCCCAACCATGGCCGTCAAGTCCGGCACGACAGACAAAAACACGTGGTCCCCCACATCCATACTGGCCACATTTGGCATGCGCTCCCCGACCATCCTGGCGGCCTGCGCGCCTTTGAGGACCATGACGACCTCCCCGTCCGCACTTCGATGCAGGTGCTCTGAGTCGCCGCTAAACAGGCTATCGTACATGGCCGCCGGGGTGGTCGACAAGTCCAGCCGGTTCAGGATGCGCATCGTCCAGCTGTCCTCGCTTTCTCGACACACAAAGCCGCCGATGCTGTTGTACTTGGCGCCGTTGTCCTTGAGGAGACTGTGGATTTGCCCAAAGTCCGAATAGTGCTTCTCGACCCTTTCCTGCCATTTGGAATGCTCGGGTGTGATGCCCGCTGCGGCGAGGACGTCCTCTGCGCCAAGGGACTGGACGAGCGCAATGTCGAGCGGGGTCTCGCCTTTGCCGTTGAGCACGTTCCAGTTCAGGGGGCCTTCGGCCTCTCTGGCTATATATCGGAGTGCGTCCAAGTTGCCGCTCTCTACCGCTATATGTAGCGCCGTGGTACCGTCTTTGTTGTCCGAGGTCAGTCGCTCTAGATGGTCGCTTTCAGGCCAGAGAGCGACAATTGCGTCCAGCACGGGCAAGGCAGTTCGTCCCCGTTGTGCGTGTGATGGTTCGAGGAAGAAGACTGCTGCGTGCAACGCGGTCAAACTCGAGCCTTCTTCTTCTCCTTCGAGAACATTCTCAAAGAGTTCGTCGCTTCCGTCTGGCACCAGAGACAGGAGGAAGAGGGTCTGGGCTTCGCTGGCCTTGTAAATTTTGCTGTCACGAATCAGCCGTCCCAGTAGAGTCGACTTGCCTCTGTCCTTTTCGTCCCGACGACAGATGAGATCGTTTGGCGATTTGTAGAGTTCTCGAGCACGGTCAAAGTAGCCGCCCAATACTGCCGACTCGAACAGGCTGATCTTCTCTCCAGCATCCGACTTTTCAGGAAGTATCTCCCCTTTGGGTACGCCTACTGGCTCTGCAGACTTGAAACTCCACTCTTGTCGGCCATCACGGCCCGGGCGAATGGCTATTGACACCCGGATCCCGCCCTGCGATCGAGGTACCGCGGCAGGCCCGTATTCGTCCGGTCCAATGAGGAGGCTCTCTTTCTGATCACGGACGAGTTCCAAGCTGATCCGGGATGTTGGCGTGGATTTGAACTTCTGATCGAGCTTGATGAAGTAGTCAACCACTTCGGCGGGCTTGTGACCCTGGATCGAGGCTTTGAACTTGAACCCCTCATGTTCTGGGTGGTTTTGGAGTGTAGCCTTTAGCAATGGGACGAGCTGATGGACGGTCGCACGGTCTTCAAAGTCGATGGCCCGCTGCATGATCTTGGCCAGCTCCTGGATTGGAGGCTGAAGCTGGCCACGAACCACAGCCCACAGTCGCCTCATCAGGAAAGGCTGCCCGAGATGGCAACTCGCGTCGAAGCTATACCGACTGTAACGTCCCATGCGGTGCTCGCAGGTCTTGCTGTTCTTGCTTCCTCGCGTGTAGAGGAACTCTACTGTGTCTAAACAGTGTTGAACATGCTCTTTGCCGTGGAGGCAGAGCCTCTGCCAGATGCCAGATGCCGAGTAGTCCAGCGCACACCATATAGGCAGAACCCAGAAGGACGGCTCATCGTAACGGATGACGGTGCTGAGTTCCTCGTACCGTCTGTCGTCCGGAAGCAGTGCTCGCAGAACTTGTATCATATGAAGTCGTGCTGCGTAATGTACCGGGCTGTAGAGACGGCCACCGCGGGCGATGAGAAGCTGCCTGTCAAGCTTTGTCATTGTCTCCATCTGGTCAAATGGGTCGGCCCCAAGCCGAACAAGGGCCTGGACGGCGGTGACGCTACTTGCCATCACAGCAGACAAGAGCGGCGTTGCATAAGAAACAGCATCCTGCAGGTCAATACATCCAGGTCGGCTCCGCGACAGCCAGCACCGCGCCTCGAGGTCGGCGCCAGCATCTTTCAATTTTTTTGCAACCTCGCTGACCTTCTCGTCGGGGAACATGGACAGTAGGTGAAGGGCCGTCGTCCCATCTGCCTGCAAGGGCACCTTGACGTCCGCACCGGCGGCAATGCAGAGCATCACCGGTTCCACATTTCCAGCGTAGCATGCCTCCAGCAGCAGCGTCCGGCCGTTGACCATCGGCTCGTTCAACTGTTTTCCCAGAGACGGCAGGGCCTGTTTCAGCATGTCGTTCTTACCGAACAAAATGGCGTGCTGGCTAAACATCCAATGGTCAGACGATCCAAGCTCCAGCTCGCCAAAGACTTGCATAAGGTCCGCCCCAGCTTCCATGAGCAAGCCCAGCATGAGGCTGGACCATGTGTTGCGGTAAACAACTCTGCTTGTTCGCACCGTGTCCTCATACTTGGCCGCATCGAGCTTCCGAAGACGGTGCTTTGCTAGGCTCTCGCCCTGTTCTTTCCCACGCACTATCAATTCCTGGAGCCACTCGATCTCGGTGTCTCGGCTGAGATCATCGAGTTGGAGTTCGAGACCTTCCACGACCATCCCGACGGAAGCTCGTGCCAGTGAATGACCCATCTGCGCTGCTTGCAGCAAGAAATTCGATGCCTTCCGGAGGTCTTCGTCGTGTGCCAGAGGGCTGATTTGGTGTCTACCCACGGCTAAGCCCGCGAACTCGTAGGCTGCTATTGCCCTGCGGGAGTCATCTTGGGATTTCTTGTCCGACGCAACTGTCTCAAGTTCTTGTAAGACGGCGGAGAATACCCTCGACGGCAGGTTTCGAAGCCTCTTGAACGATGTGACATGCTGGGGGGGTTAGAGAGAAAGGAGAACATGTGGTGAAAGCAGACATACCGAGATCACAGCGTCATGGGTGTAAGTTCGTACAACTTGCTCGTCTGACTGGCGCAGACGTACCATAGATTCTAGTCTGTTGAAAAAGCTGGCGTTCTCTAAGGCGTCGTCTGTGCCTCGCTGTGAGGAAGAGCCTTCGGCATCGCTCGGGTCTGGAAGAAGTTCCTGTTCGTCCGGGAAAGATCTTTCTGATGCGCTATCTGAGAGAGACTCTCTTCGCTTCCCTTCACTTGTGCCGGTGGGTTCAGCCACAGCATTGTCTGTGACCCTCCACATATCAGACTCGGCTTCCCTCATCTTCATCTCAATAGCGTCATCTATCTCCGAGGCAGGGTCAATTCCTACAAGAGTTCAGTCATCGTCCACTCGCTGTAAAGTGGGTAAGGCGCAGGAGGACGAACACTTACTGGGATTCGCAATGACATTCTCCTCCAGCGACGTCAGCGAAGACAAATCCCGAGTCTTCTCACGGAGCTCCATGGCGACTACCAGGTGCAGCAAGAGCCTCAGAATCTTGAGAATGTCCAATGCGCCGGAGGTGCACTCTACAAAGGGCACCTGTGTTGAAAGTGCATAGGTCAGTGTGATTCGTTTCAAATGCATGGTGTGTTCTGTCTCGCCGGCAGGCATTGTATTCTCGGCCATCACAGCAAAGTCGGCCATAGCATCGCCGAGGTCGCCGCTGGTCTTTAACTCATCGAGGCGGCGACCTCCTGAGTCACTCTTGGCCAAATATTCAAGGATATCAGGTCTGATCCTCGTGATCAGGACCGCAAGGATTAGCCCAAAAGCATATACGTCGGACCGCACAAGCTGCTGCGCGGTGCATTCTCGAATAGCCCATGGGCTTTGCCAGAGCTCGGTCCCAGGTGCAATGGGATAAGTCGAGCCGCGAGGGAGATCGCTCAGCAAGACCGATGAGCTAAAGTCTGACAGCTTTGCTACTGGCTTTCCGTGGCGGTCCAAGCAAAGCAGAATGTTTGCTGGTTTCATGTCGCAATGCACGACTCCTGCGTCATGGAGAGCCCGTAGACCTTCCGCGACCCCTATGGCGAGTGCGAGCTGTTCTGTTAACGTGGCCGGTTTACCACGCAGGAAGGATTCGAGATCGCCATGTTCGGCGTATTCGAGCACAAAGACAGGTAGAATTCGCTCTTTCGGGGCATTGGTGACTTCCCACGCCAAACCCAATAGCTCAATGATGTTTGCATGCTTCCGTATCGAGTCGCTCCTTAGGATCGCAAGCTCTGTGGCCATAGAACGCATGTCAAGAGCGGCTTTGGGGCTGCGAATGATGTACTTGTTGCGTCCCAAATAGAGGAGCGGGTCGGAATTGAGGTTTCGCGAGTCCACGCACCGCCGCAGACGATTGGGAGGCACAGCGATGGCATTGAAACTGCCACCAATACCCAAGGCCTCTTCTTGAGGAAATGATGTTTTCTCAATGCAGATTTTGGAAAGCAGTTCCTCCTCCGCACTTGGATTGTCGGGCATCCCGGCGATGCTGGCTGTCAACAGGGCGAGAAGGTCGTAGCTGGCCATCTTGTTTGTCGCCGTGTTGAGATCCACGGTGCAAACGGAGACAACAATGATTTGAGCCGATCTAAATATCAAGAGAGTTCCAGAGAGTTAAAATGCTGTGTCCCAAGAGGAAATACTATGAGAACCGCCACTCCAAGCGTGACCATGACCGTCATTAACCGCAGGAGCACAGCTGACATGTCGCCGAGACTGGAACAAGGACGCATGGAACTATTGTAGAGGATGCTATTTGTCAGTCAAGACTTTTTCTCGTGTTGATGAGGGCGCAGCCCGACGCTGCAGGACCCTGCGTGGTCTGGACACGAGGCAACCAAGCACTGCCCCGGCTGGGCAAGTATTTGGCCTTTGCAGCATGTGCTCCAAAAGCAGTCTCCTGCCCACTTCCACATGCTGGATCCCATCTTCTCGGCTGGGGCTCGAAGGGAACTTGTTTGTCAATCGACCAGTTGCTCTTCGTGAACCGCGACCATGGATCCTTTCAGCATTATTGGAGCAATTGGTTTTGCCTTTCAAGTCGTCGAGATAACAATCGATGCAGTCGACTACTGGAAGAGAACCAACGATGTGGGAGACGACATCATCATGATAGTGGCACGCCTCGACATGATTCGGGCGCGGATCAAGTCGTGGTCAGTCGACTGGGGCATGCGTGAGCAACGACACCTGGAGCATCCCAAGTTCCGCGAATATGGCCATTTGGCTCTTCACTATCTTGTCATCATTCAGCGCCGTCTGGTCCGCTTCGAAGACTTTGAGACAAGGTATACCGGCCTCTTCGGAGCTGCTCGAACGCGGAGCACGGGCTCGGTCTCGCGTATCGCGGCTGTGGCAGCCTTTGAGCAGACGGCAACGAATGAAGGCCATATCATTAGTGGCGCAGAGCTCCTCACGCAGTTGAAGACAGACGTGACCGCATTGAATCACGGCAACGTGCTCGAGCGCTGGAGATGGGCTCGCAGGGACAAGCGAGGCCAGACGATGGTCGAACAGATCGACACGCTGGTCAAAGATCTGGAAGACTTCTTCCCCCCTCCACGCAGCGATGCAGCCGGTGCTATCGTCTTCAACCGAGGCCTCTCGTCCAGCAATATTGACAGCCTTCAAGCCCTCCCGAAGCTTGAGGCAATGCAAGGAGATGGCAACCCCGACATGCGCGACGTCTCGACCTTGGCATCCCTGAAGATCATCGCCGCTAATCTCGGTCAGCGAGCCGCAAAGGCCAAAGAACAGACACTTCGATGGAGGTCCATCACTACCGAAGACGGCAAGGCACTCTCGCTTGAGCCGTGCGTAGGCGGCTGGGAGATAGCGAAATGGAAACAGACGTCTCGAGGAGACGCCGAGACAGTCCTGGTGGAATGGAAAATTGTGCCCATGTCCCTGCCACTGGACCAGAAAAAAAAGCTCGATGAGCGCATCTACGATCTCGGCAAGATGCTGCAAGCGGCAGGCAAGCCCACCAAGATGCTCACACTCGACTGTCTTGGGATCGCCGAGAAGCCCGTGTCTGACTCAAGTGATGCCCAGTACGGCCTGGTCTTTCGCGTGCCGCCGAATCACCGACCTACCTCCCTGTACGAGCATCTTGTTACTCCTGGAACAGAGCCCAGTTGCCTCTCTCACCGTTTTGCCCTCGCACGCGCCCTCGCCAAAGCTGTGCTGTACCTCCATCTGGCCTCGTGGCTACACAAGGGCATCCGCAGTGCTAATGTACTCTTCTTCATCAGCCTGCCAGACAAAGTTGTGGATATAGCTGCTCCACGCCTTGCTGGGTTCGAGTACAGCCGTCTGGACGAGCCCAGCGCACTAACAGAGAGCACAACAGACTTTGGCGACCACAATTTATATCGTCATCCACAGCACCGCGGCTTACCAGTGTCAGACGACCAGAAAGCGAACAACCAGCCGGGTAAGAAGCGTAACTCCTTTAGCTACAAAGCCGACCTGTACAGCCTGGGTGTCGTGCTGCTCGAGGTTGGACTGTGGCTCACGGCTGCAAAAATCGTGGCGAGGGACAAAGATGCCAACCGCAGTGCTGACGGTGACGCCGACCCGGGAGATAGAAAATACGATGATGAGGAGGAGGATGACGTTCGCAATGTGTTCGTGCGGCAGATTCCCACGTTGAGACGGACGATGGGCCCAATTTATGCGGATGTAGTCGACAGGTGTCTGACTGGGGATTTTAAGCCCAAGGACGACGAGGCGCTGGCAACTGTGTCGGAGGTTTTTTATGTCAATGGTGTGCAGCCTCTGGACAGGTGTGTAGTGTAGGCATGGTGAGTCTTTGGGGTGGCTGGGTGGTCAGATGAAAATGCGGTTTGTTTCTGTACCAAAATGCAGCTGTTTGAAATTGCTGGTTAGGCGCGGAGGAATATAATTCCGGCGGGATAAATCCGTCGCAGGCTCTCAACACACCAGCAAGTTAATATGGTCTGCAGCACTGTCTAACATCGCCTTTTCTGCTATCTAATTCCAGGGCAGATTTACCCCGTCCGTGGCTCAACAACCTGCTAATCCAAAACTAGGCATCTGGGCCATTTGGCTTGAAGACCACTTTATTGACCTCTGCCCGCTCGAACCGGCGCAACGCATCCACACAAGATTCATCCAAGCTCGGCAGCACGAGATCAATGAACCCCATCTTCTCGATTATGTGTTTATTGCGGATCAGGGCCTGCAAAGCCTCGTTGAACACGTACCTGGCCGGACAGCGGCCGAACTGGATGTGAACGTTCTTGTTGTAACAATCTGCCGCCGTAAATGGGAGCTCGGCATTGTGAACTCCTATCGACAGTGTCAACAAACAGTTCAAGCAGTTAAAAGGATGTGAGGCAGTGAGATTGATAAGCACATACCTACAGAGCTGATCTTGCCGCCTGGACAGATAACGTCGTAGGCCGTCTTGAGGGCGGGACTGAGACCGACCACCTCGATAACTGCATGAGCGCCGTTGCCGTTTGTTAGTGCCATCACCTCCTTGACCACATCCACCGTCTTAAAGTTGAGCGGGATGCACCCCAAGTCTTGAGCACGTTGCAGGCGATTCGGGACCGAGTCGATAGCGATTATCCGGGCGGGTTTGTACTCGAGGGCGCTGATGATGGCGCACAGCGCAACAGGACCACAGCCGATGACCACCACAGTCATGTCCTTCCACTGGTCGCTTGGAGTTTCTCGGAATGCGTTTCTCGCCCCGTTGAATCTGTCACCCATTAGCCAGACATGCAAATTGTTTCCCCTCTGCAAAGATATGGAAGAGAAATGTCAAGAGGATGGATCGTCTGCATTACCCCGTGGGAAATATGTCCGTCATCAAGATCAACAGTTCCCCAAGATCTCCCTCCTGCGGAGTATGAAACAAGGTAGAATCCGCCAACGGAACCCTGAAATACTGGGCTTGCGATCCATCCAGGGCGACGGAGCCGAAAGATTTGCATTTCACACAGCGGCCCGTAATTCCTCTCTTGCAATGGAAACACTCGCCGCTGGAAGAATCAGATTCAAGAGTTTCGGGGGGGATTCAGACAACCAGTGTCTCCAAGAAATAACAACAGGAGGAAGATACGCACCAGCTGATGGTAAAGGGCGCAATCACCCGGTCACCCTTTTTAAAGTTCTTCACCTCGCTGCCCACCTCGTGGACGATGCCCATGCCTTCATGTCCACAGATATACCCCGGCTGCATATTGATCTTGGAGTGTCCTCGGTATCGGTGCAACTCGCTTCATCAACAACCCAACCAGTCAGCCACTGCGCGCATGGTAACACAATTACAATTCGCAGGTAGGAGAAGAAGGAGAGAATGTTACCTTCCACACAAAGCCGCCGAGGTAGTCTTTATCACCACGTCTGTAGGATCTGCCGGGCGAGGAACTGTCCCGCAAAATCAGTAACATTATTTCGCCGCGCGTCAACGGGTCGGATGAAAAACAGACTCGGTCGGTCTTCCAATCTCACATCATATGGGCCGTGGAAGACCAAGGCCTTCATGGTTTCCGCAGAACCCATTTGTGACGACTTTGGTAGAGGACTCGTTGTGGTTGTGGTTGGGGAAGTGGTCGATGACGGGCACGACGAGGCTGCCAACCCCTTTTTTGGTGGGGTGAATGTAATTGCCGAGCACTCGGTAAGTACTGTATACTGCTAGCCAGTCGCACCGAATAATAACAGGAAAATCTTGTCTAAACGCTGCTCTTCTGATAATGATCTCAGTTAATCACATGAATTTACTTCCCTCTCCCTTTCTTATTAGTTTAGTTTAGTGATGCACCGGCGGTTGTTTCTCCTCTCTCAATAATCAAACCACATCCATACTTACTCCATCCCTCATTACTCCATATCCCCATATCCCCCCATAACTTGTTGGGGGAGCACGAGCCACGGAGCCTCCCACCTCCTCGGCAAATCCGTCTGCGGGGAAACAAGATCATAAAAGAGATCGGGGAAAACGCCGGTAGTTGCACGATCGATGGCGATGACATTGTCACGTTTCATATTGTGTCATACCTACCTAGATATCTTGGAGGTGCCGGGACAGAGTTAGTAACTACTATGCGTCGTAGTGGTGGTTCATGAAGTATATATGTAGGTACATGGACTTGGTTATGTGGCTTGACGACGTCTAGTCGACTGTCTTGCTGTATCGTCTCGGACTGCGCCGCCAACGGATTCAGGATTAAGGATTTCAAGGACACCACAGAGGTGGACAATTGCAGTGGCGTGTCTGGTTGTGGTGGCCTTGGGCTGTTGGACGTATCGACCAGACCAGACCAGACCAGAGTATCAGTGTACAACAAACGGGGCGAGAAGGAGGAACAAGCGTCTTTTAGCTTTTTAGTCGTTGCCGTGGATCCAAAGACGTCCTCGGTACGGTCGCGAATGTATGTAGACTGGCAGACTGGAGAGAGCGACAAGCTTTTCTGTTTGAGGGGCAACGGTGGCTTCAAATAAAGCGTCGATCCCGGAGTCTGGTGACCAGCAATCCAACGTTCAGCTACAAGCAACCAGTTTCCCGGTTCAGCCCTTTGGAGGGCTATTATCGCGTTGATGAACTATTCAATCTCCCGTGGCGATTTTAGAGACCGTATACACTAGATATTCATGGCGACATGTAGATCCATAGTAGATATCTATATACATGACAAGTCGTATATCCACCATGTCGAGCGGCATATCTCGATATATCACATAACAAGTTCCAGGGGCATCTCCCTACCCTAGGCATATATACTTCCAATACCTCTTAACTCTCACCAACTTCAACCAGCAAACCCCCTCCGTCATCACTTCCCCCCGTCTGGAAACTTATCCTGCCACTTCTCATCACCACCCAGGTACCGAAAAACGACTTTTGTATCCAACCCGGCACAGCGAGGGTCCTTGCTCGCGTGGTCAAACGCGTCCAGGACGGCCTGCCCGATGCACAACTTGGCGCCGACGCGGTCGCACGCGTCGAGGGCCAACGCCATGTCCTTGCAGGTATACTCGATGCGAAACCCGAGGGCGTAGTCGTGCGAGGCGGGAGAATTGGGCGTCAGGCCCGGCACGGGGTTCGCGTTCTGGGCGTTGATGTTGCCGCCGGTGGCGGTCTTGAGGATCTCCTGCAACGTGCGCGGGTCCATGCCGGATTTGATGGCCAGGTTGAACGTCTCGGCGTTGAGCAGCGTGATGGACGAGCTGAGGTAGTTGTTGCACAGCTTGGCCGTCAGGCCCAGCGAGGGGCCGCCGCACGCGTAGATGTTCTTGCCCATCAGGGCCATGAGCGTCTTGAGCAGCGGGAAGTGCGGGTCCGACGCCGTGCAGCCGACCATGAACGTGATGACGCCTCGCTTCGCGCCCGCCGTGCCGCCCGACACGGGCGCGTCGAAGAAGTGTGCCTTCGGGTGTCGGGTCCGGGTCTGCTCGCCGACCTCGAGCGACGTGGCCGTGTCGATGGTGCTGCTGTCGATGAGGATCTTATCCGAGAGGTCTTTGGCGGCCAGCACGCCGTTTTCCGGGTCTAGGAAGACAGCCCGGACGTGTTTCCCCTCGGGGACTATCGACAAGAGTAGATCCTATATTCCCCTCCCTCCAAAAGCCATTCGGTCAGTTGGCTGGCTGGGCTGGTTTCGTGGCTAACTGACTTGTTCGAAGCCTCTCTAAAGGGGTGACGACGAAAATACATACACTCTTCTCCGCGACCTCTCTCGAACTGCCGCAAGCATCCAACTTGGCCACCGCGCCCGACTCGTTCAAGCCCATCTCTATCGATCGCGGGTTGACATCGTAGAAATGTACCGTCGATATCACCGGCAATTTACTGACCAAGTTGGAAAACATGGGGAAGCCCATATTCCCTAGGCCGATGAAGCCAATGTTGGCGGGCAACTGGGGATCTGACGACGACGAGGAGGCCATGATCTACAATATTTGGATTGGATTGGTCTGGTGGTCGCTTAGATCGATGATGATGATGGGTGATGGTGTTTTAGTTCGCTTGTCTGTTGTATATGCGAGATCTGGTAAAAGGCGATAACTGTAATACGAACCATCAACTCACTAAATATAATTTCTATGTAGTTATACCGATGGAGTGCCCGCTCAGTGATGTTTGAAAGGCCCACCGTCATTGGCCCGTAGAGAACGTTTTGCTGTGGTGACTGTTAAAGCTACGCATCCTCGGGTTACGACAAGCTCGGGATCGCCCACCTCCCTCTCCGAGGCGTTAGCTGGCTGTATACAAAGTACAAGTAGTAAAAAGGTACATTTTATTCTAGGGGAGGCGGGCCCGCCGGGCGAACCCGGGAATATTATCCATGGGCAGCTCCTATAATCGGAGTATCTGGTTCGAACCAATCAATACAAGGTAGAGTCACCTACAGAGTTACGAGGTATACAACTAGGTATTAACCACCGCATCTTCATGACATTCCATAACAATATCGAAGAAATGACCAACCATGTCATGACTTCGCAACTTCGCAACAGTCGCAGATGCCTAATTTCCGACTGAAAGGCCTCCGACAAGAAACTGGTCAGACTTGTGCAAGTAAAAGGCCTCCGAATGTCCAAAAAAAAAAAGGAGAAAGCCTCCGGCTGGGAGAGCAAAAAGCCTCCGAGTCCATCAACTGCGCTCGTTCTGCGTAGCAGTAGCAGGAGTAGCAGTAACAATGGTAGCACCATACTTAAGATCTCTGCTGGAAATCCCTTTGTGTTTGTCTTCATGTTTCTGGCCACCTTATTTTCCTCAAGATTGGTGTTGGGAACGCCAAACCACTTCCTCGAAAACAGGTGTGTGAAATCCAAATAAACCATCTCGCGACCGGTCAAGGCGCCTCCTTCTATCAAAAACAGTAAAAAGGTTAGAATCTAGAAGGGAGGGAAAAGAATGAGTGCGCTGGAAGAGGACGGTTCACACAAGGAGTCGAGTCAGAGAGTGGAAATGGACCTCCCGCCCGACAAGGCTGCACTCCATGCCATTCCCAAGATAGACGACGACGACGCAGCCGGCAAGGAAGCAGAGACAAAGCCCCCAAACGATCCTCAGACCGCGACCAAGCTCTCCAAAACTGCACAAAAGAAAGGACTGCGCTTCTGGATGATTATCGTGGCACTCAGCTTCACGAGTCTATTGATCGCCATGGAAGGAACCATCACATCCACAGCCCTGCCCTCTATCATCGCGGATCTAGGTGGTGGCGACTTGTACATCTGGGCTGCCAACGGATACTTCCTGACCATGTAAGTTCAAACGTCGCATCCACCGTGGCATTGCCAATGCTAATGTGCCCACAGGACCGCATTGCAGCCCCTTTACGGCCAGCTGGCCAATGCCTTTGGTCGTTGGTGGCCAACAATCGGTGCAACAGCGGCGTTTGTCCTGGGCAGTGGTATATGTGGAGGGGCCAACAACATGGCGACGCTCATCGCCGGCCGTGTGATCCAGGGAGTCGGCGCAGGCGGCATCAGCGTCCTCGTCGAGATGATCATTTGCGACTTGGTTCCTTTGCGACAACGAGGCAACTACATCGCCATCGTCGTCGGCCTGATTTCGCTCGGCACGGCGCTCGGGCCCTTCTTCGGCGGTCTCATCGTCGACCACGCCACCTGGCGATGGGTCTTTTACCTCAATCTCCCCGTTGGCGGTGTCGCGTTGGCACTGCTTCTGGCCTTTTTGAAGGTGACATGGAACAAGAACACCAGGCTCGCCACCAAGCTGACGTCGATTGACTGGCCTGGCAACGCCATCTTCATCGCGTCCATCTGCGCTATACTCCTCGCACTGTCCTGGGCCGGCGCTTTATATCCCTGGTCATCATACCATGTCATTGTGCCACTGGTCATCGGCCTCGTCGGTCTAGTAGGCTTTCTCGCATTCGAAGGAACGCGCCTGGCTCCCCAGCCAACCATGCCGCTGCATCTCATGTCGAATCCCACTTCGGCCAATCGCCTATGTTCTCACTTTGCTGCACAGCATAGTCTTCATATGGACGCTTTATTTTCTTCCCGTATACTTTCAAGGCGTCCTTGGCTCCTCACCGACCTACTCCGGAGTACAACTTCTGCCCAGCATACTGGTTATCGTACCATTTGCTGCAATGGGAGGGGTGGCCATGTCCAAATTCGGCCGATACCGACCTATACACTACGCAGGTTTCGCATTGGTAGTGCTGAGCTTCGGCCTCTTCAGCCTCCTCGACCAACACTCGTCCACAGGGACGTGGGTTGGCTATCAAGTGATATTCTCTGCCGGAGCCGGCCTCATCATCTCGACGTTGCTGCCCACAGTGATGGCGCCTCTCTCAGAAAGCGACACGGCACTTGCAACATCCACTTGGGCGTTCGTGCGTAGTTTTGGCATGACATGGGGTACTGCAATCCCCGCCGCAATATTGAACAATCGGTTCGACGAGCTTGCGACCACGGGCATCGCAGATCCTGTCATCAGACGGCAACTTATCAATGGTCAGGCGTACAGCCATGCCACAGCTGCCTTTCTCGACACACTATCGGCTCCCACCCGCGAACAAGTCATCGAGGTGTTGAATGGAAGCCTCCGCCGCACATGGCAGGTTAGCATTGGCTTCGCAGCGCTGGGATTCTTGCTGCCGTTCTTTGAGAAAGAGATACCTCTTCGTCAGGAGCTTGAAACTGAATTTGGCATGGAGAAAAAGGAGAACAAAGACAGTGCCTCGAAGGAGGATGCTAGCAATGCTTGAAAGCAGTCTGACCTCGAAACGCTGTAGCCCGAGGTTTATGGTGAATTATTGTACAGCATGCATGTGGCTTCCCCAGGCTCGCACGATACGACGGTAACAGAAGCGAGTCCGGATTTCCTCTGAGATAGAGCAGATGGTACATGACCAAGCTGAGGGTATAGCTTGGCTCGTCTTGCGAAGCTTTTGGTGAACTCTTCCGGTAGAAATTAGTCAAGAAAAATATCCCTGGTACTTCTGACAAGATTTGTCCCAGAATCGTTCAAAATTTGCCACGAATGAGTATCTATGTAGATAGCATGCCTTGAAGATCTCTGAGGTGCGATCTGAGCGACTTCAGCGTCGAAGTGCCTGAAGTACGGGGCCATCCTGCCGTCTGCGTCATAGCAATGTGTAGAAGTTGAGATATGCCCGGAGTAGTACTCAGCAAGCCCTCCGAATCCGCAGCCCGCTCCGACAAGCCGAACTCTTCAGGGAGACCTAAGAGGCGCTCTAGACGGTTGAAATGATGCTCAATGACTTGGACGATGATCTTGGCGTACAGTTGCGCCTTCATGGAGGGCAGTCCGGCAACCTGGAACTCCGGCAAGTCCTGGAGATACGTATTCATATCGCCCAGCTTCGACATGGCGTCTGTGACGCGATTAAAGACCGTGTTGTAGAGCTCCAAGAGGAGGAGGTAGCTTGAAAGAAGCATTAATACGACTGGGATGCTCAGTGAGCTCAGCCTCGTCGACGGTGACTGAGATTGCGAGCATGGAGCAGGAAGGTACGTCTGCCTTTGCCATGAATCCAAATCGGAGATATTGGAGTTCGAGACAGCAGATCCGACGGTAGTAGATGACTTTTGTAGTGATGACAACGGGGCTAGACTTTCGAGAATCGAAACGAATCGAGAGGTGCTCTGTAGTAGCTCTGCCATCGGGTTGCCTTCAACTCGGTGAAGCTTTTCGAGACAATGATGCGCTGCATTCGCAGGTCCCCAGATGTATGCATCGACGTTGGATACCTGTCTAGCGAAGTCTGCATTTAATCTTGATAGAGCAGTGATTGTGTCTGCGGGCTCGAGCAGTTCCGGTGATGGCCCTGGTATGTAATTTTGAATAGCAGCCGGCAGCTCAGAGGTATGCTGCGAGTGTTGAGGAAGTTGCGTTAACGGCCCAACGTGAGCTTCCATCTGCAGATCAAAAGTATACCCCGACCCTGAATTTGCCTCGAACGTCAAGTCTGGTGTTTGATTTTCGAAAGACGGACTTGTCACGTAGGATGAATCTTGGAGATAGTCCGCGTACAGATCCTGGCTCTGACTCTGACTCTGCGGCGTCCAAAAATTTGGGGCCGCTTGCAGACTCTCTGTAGTCGACGATAGACGTGGAGAAGAAGTAGATTCGGTGTCCAGTGCTTCGGATGCCGTGCTTCTTGCCATGGTAGATTTGGTCTTTCTTCCGGCTGATTCTGGTATGCGAGGCCGTCCCAGCGGCCGCGCACTGCTGGTGACACACTGAACCCCGACTTTCAGGCATCTGGCGCACGGCTCACTATTGGGTTGATCGCTGCGTGGACAGCGTAGCTTCTGGCCCCTGCAGCGATCACAGGCAGACCGTTGGTGGTTCATGCTGGAGAAGTCACTGATAAAGTGTGAGAGAAGATTTGAATTACTTGAACCAGAGAGGTTTCTGATAATTATAGCAGCCTCGTTACGTCAGCCTGATCGGTGGTAGTGGTGGTAGCCTCGCCCCTCACGAGGTAATAATGTAGCGCCACCCAATGCTGTAGTAAGTTGGCTTTTACACATCCTCGAGTCTCCTGTTACGCTCTCTACACCACAATGCATTCAAAGTATACAACCATGTAAATAGATAAAGAGTGCTGGGGTACTTAATGCATCATATCAATTCGTCAGGCTCTAGGCTCAGAGCCAGGTATCTCTTTTACCTTGGTAAATAATTGCTGACAAGTCCTCGTTTGCGCTTATCCAGGTCATAACACATTTCCAACGTCAAATCCAATGTTCCATTTCTCCTATTACTTTTCATGGTGATCTCTGCTGGTCAAGAAACTCACAGTGTCATGGTCGTATACTTCAGAGCCTGACGTCCGCGACTGTTAGGGCCGGTTCACAAACACTGCCGGAAAAACGCCCGCGTCCCCTGCATATACGCCAAACCACCACTCGTCGTTAATTTCCTCCACCTCGCGGAT